TTTGATATACTTCTTTTTATTAATGGTTTCTAGATTGATATGAAAAATATGAGCTGTTCTATTATTAATATTCAAGATTCATAAAAATAGGTTTAAAAAATTTTTTTTTTGTGATACTAAAAGGTAAATAAAAGAAGTAATATCAACACAATTTGATCATTAATTTGATTGTCAATATGTTGTGAGACATTTTATTTTCAAATGGCAATTGAAAATATTTACAATAAATGAACCTAAATATAAAAAGAAAGAAAACAAAAAAAAATAACCGGAAAGGATCAGAAAAGATTGTTTATTCCATTCAATAAAAAGAGAAGGTTCTATTCTTGTTTCATACGAAACACTATTTTTGAACGAATGAAATTTTTGAGGAGTTCTTGAAATCTCAAATTCATTGGAACCACATTGAATGATGGTAATAATACTTTATTTACTCATACTACTTATTAGGATAACTGCAGAAGAAGTTAGTAAGAAAGAATATGATAACATTGGTGCATGTGGAGATGGTGTTTGGGATTCATTTTCTGAACAATGTGATGGTATAGAAGGATGTGGGAATGATTGTCAATGTACAAAAGGATACACAGCTGATGGTAATGGCAATTGTATCATGTCTTGTATGTATGGAAATGGGTGTTTAACAGGGTGTTATAAACCTGACAAGTGTAGCTCATGTGATACAAGGATGTACACAAAAGATTGTACTGGATGTCAACCAGGATATATGTGGTATGGAGAAGGAAATTGTTCAAAATATGATATCTCAACTATTCAAAGTTGTAGAAGTTTTATTGATGAATCAGAACAATTAGCACATGAACTTGGATTAACAGATAATCCATTTAAAGTTGTTGTAAAAAAAAGAAATACTTTAGAAACTGTTACTTATACAATAAATATCCCTGAATTACCTGTTTCAAAAAGAAGACTCCAATTAACACATTGTTCTAGATATATTGATCCAAGTCGTCCTTATACATATGGAGTATGGATTCAACTTACTTCTGAAGAACTTACAGAGGTAGTTATTGAGTTAGATAAGAAATATTCAATTGATGATATTAATGCTGAAAACTTACAAGAACATACAGTTGGAACAGATCTTGCATTTGTTATTATTTCAAATTGTCTTGACTCAATTAATTCACATGAAGATCCAGGATGTCTACATAGAAATGGAGGATTATCAGAATATGTTTTATCTCCTAGGGTTTCAGTTATTTTAAGAAAAGATGTTCCTTATTATTTATTTATTCATTCAAAATATGCATCTAAGACCATTCCTGGATTTACTTTTTATATATCTGATATGAATCATGCCTGCTCTACTAATTATCGTAGTGTTCCTATGGTTTTAATCTCTGATAGAGAAGGGTACCACAGTGTCTTAGAGTTAGAAAAGGCCATGACATCAAAAAATATATGTAATCAGGATATTACAAAAGGATTTTGGTTTAAGATAATCGGAAGTGATCTAACACTAGATATTTCAACATGTGAATCTAGTGAATTTGATGTTACTATTGATCTTGTTGAAGTAAAATTAAGTGATTATAATTTAAATGATAATTCACAAGATCTTTCTCCAATTGATTGTAGTACTGCACCTGCAAAGTGTCTTGCAACAAGAACTTCAGGATGTGGGAGTAACTCTCGTCTTGCTAGATTAGTTCAGAAAATAGACAGCCAGCATATCTATTTCCTATATCTTGCAATAAATGAAGAGTATTCTGCTTCAATTAATTTAACAATTAAAACAACTTGTAATAAAGACTGTGGTGAACATGGCATTTGTTCTATTAGTTCTGGACAATGTGAATGTATTGATGGGTATGTTCTCGTTGATGGAACCTGTACATTATGTAGAAATGGAAAATTTGATGATGAAGAGGTTTGTGATCCATCCGTTGAAGGATATATTGATAGTCAATGTACTGATGCATGTACATGTATATTGGGGACTCAACCAATGTTAATTAATGGTGAAATTAAATGTGCTGTTCCAACTTGTGGAAATGGAAAAGTTGATGAATATGAAGAATGTGATGGAGGATATGGATGTGATCATTGTGTTTGTGTAAATGGAACAAAAAAATATGCAAAAGCTAGAGCCGGTTGTATTCTTGCTACATGTGGAAATAAAAAATGGGATGAAGGAGAAGAATGTGATGGGGGAGATGGATGTATTGAATGTGAATGTCAACCAGGATGGTATTCTCACAACAATGCAAATTGTAAAGGTCTATCTAAAGCACTTACTAATTTCCTCTTTTGGGGAATTGGAAGTATTGTTTATATTCTTTATTTCTTCTTTGTAATAACTCTCTTCTTAATATTACATATTAAATTAACAAGAAAAATTAAACAAGACATCGACGATGAGAATCTATTTATCTTCGAGAATACAATTATTCCATTTGATAAAACAAATTCTCAATACATTGATTTAAAACAACAAAACCCTTATTTCTCATTCTCAAGTAACACAATTGATTTTAGTGATACTCGTCCTGAAATTAATGACCCTGTTGATTCTACTCTCATTTTAACAAATAATTGGAAATATCCAATGCATTTTACATTCCACTCTGGTGATTATACAAAATATGAAATTATGTGTAAACCATTCACTGGAAGAATTAAACCAAAGGAGAGTGTTGTACTAACGGTCTCATTCATGGCAAAATGTACTACTGTATTAAATGAGAAAGTTCCTATTACAATACGTTATGGTCAACTTCAAAATGTATTAAAAGATATTAAAAAAGATAATCCAGACTTAATTGCACATTGTTCACAATCAAGTCAAAATAGTGAAAGCGAAGGACGGTCCCAAACTTCTGGAACAAATGGATCGAATTCAGTCAAAAAATCACGGGGACCAAAAATAACCCCATCAGGAAGTGGTAAATCAGGGTCATCTCATGACTCTGATGCAAAAAAGAAAAAAGGAAAAACAAAAATAACTAAATTCCATGTTTATTTAAATCTTCAAGTTGAATCTGCTCTTTCTACTAAATTAGATTATGAAGAAATTCATTTAAAACATCCACCTATTGGTGGTGGTACATTTGGTATTGTTTATCGTGCTGAATGGAGAGGAGTTGATGTTGCAGTTAAAGTAATGAAAACTGATTTAGTTGGATTAGCTGAATTATTACCTAATTTCATGCAAGAAGCAGAAATGATGGAACGTATTCGTTGTCCATATATTGTAAATTTCATTGGAAGTGTAGCAACTGCTGATACGTTATGTCTTGTAACAGAATTTTGTCCATTAGGTTCATTAAGAAAATTCATGAAAACAAATTCAATGAGTGATTTATTAAAAATAAGATTCTGTCAAGATATAGCACGTGGTATGGAATATTTGCATCAAAATGATATTCTTCATCGTGATTTAAAAACTGATAATGTTTTAGTTTATTCTAAAAATCCGTCTGATCCTATTACTGCTAAAGTTACTGATTTTGGTACTTCTCGTTCGTTCATTGAATCATCAAATTCTATTGCTTTACAAAATATTGGTACACCTGTATATATGGCACCAGAAATCACAAGAAAAGATCAAATGACATTAAAATCAGATGTATATTCATTTGCTATTTGTATGTTAGAAATTTGGTTAGGAAGAGATCCATATGATCCAATGAAATTCCCAGACTCAGAATCAATTTTAAGATTTGTAGGTGCTGGAAAGAGACTTTGTGTTAGTGATGATTGTATTCTCAAAGAAATAATTGAATGGGCTTGGAGCCATACACCATCAGAGAGACCTTCATTCAAAGAAATAGGATCAGCATTAGAAGCTATTTATAAAAAGACTTCTGATAAATCAAAATCAGATTCTAATAACAAAAATAATTCCAGTTCTACAAAAACTAACACAAAATCTAAAGATATTTCTTTGGTAGAATCTAGGTCATCAATGAGTAAAAGTGAAGATAATGAAGAAATTAATGAAGCTTCTGTTTCATCCGAAATGGTTAATGATAACTAATTCATTTGTTGATAATCCTTTATCATTATTACTTGAATACTAATAATTTATTATTTTAATTCATTTACCATTTTCAATCTTTAAGTTGGTATTCATTTAATGCCATAAATAATTTAGTATTTCATTTATCCAATTAATTAATTTAAAATGATGTCTTCTTTTTATTATTTTCATTTATTGATGATAAACAATCTACATAAAACTAATTTTAATATTACTGTTTGACATAATTATATAAAAATATCAAATTAAATGGATATATGAATGATGAAAAGATAT